AGAAAAAATACAAGAGCAAGAAGAAAGAAAAACAAGAAGAATATAATTCTTTTAAATGAAGTAAGAGAATTAAAAAGAAAAAAAGAAGCAAGAATCCAAAAAGATGCTTCAAGCAGAGTTAATAGATAGATAAGATCAGGTAGTAAAGAAGGATAGTTAAGATTTAAAACAAGCTAGGTGATTTTGATATAAGCTAGTAGTAGTCTCTTGTTAACTAAAAGTTAGAAGTTTGTTTGTACAAACTTAAACTCTTATAAGAGAAATAGTTGCTGCAACAGATCATACTTAGATACTAATTGGTAACTAAGTGAGTTCTAAATAGTTTTAAAAAAGTAGTTTGCTGTAGTTAGTATAGCATTTTGCTTGTAGCTTAATTTAGCTTTTCTTAATAAAATTAATGGACAAGATCGCCTAAGTATAAAAAAAAAAAACATAATAGTTCTTATAGAGGTTAGCTAAACTTGCTAACAGAGACTCCTTTGTATATTTAATATGCAAGCTAAAAATGATATTATACAAAATAACTAGTAAAGGTCTGATGATCTAGTATAGTAGTTAGATTATTAAATTGCTATATAATAAATCTAGAGTTTAAATTTTATTGTTAATGAATTTGAATAATTTCTTAGACCTTATAATATGTTATAGTAAACTCTGTTTATTTTTGAAGATATATCTCTATAAATTGAGTTATACCAAATTGATCAGAACTTGGAAGTATGATATAATATTATATGAATAAATCTTAATAGAATATACGAATAGGGAACCTGTATAGTAAAAATTCTAAGTTAGTAAAGTAATATAGCCTTCTAACAAGACTATATCAGCTAAAGTCTAATCTGAAAAGAAAACTTAGTCTAATAAAAGTAGAAAGTTTTAAGGTTTCTAGTCAAAAAGTAACTAGGACTAGCTAGATATTAGAAAAAGACTAGATCAACTGAACAGTAGAGAACTATAGTAGAACCTGAGATTATATAAATATCTACAAGGATCTAAACTAGATAAATTCATAAAATAGATACAGATCACTTTAGTAGTTTTGCTTTGAGATTAACTAGCTCTGCATACTAGTAATGTATCTGATATAATGTATTTTGAAAAGACCTAAGCTATTCTGAATAAATAGATCTGTAACAAGTTAGCTGGCTTAAATAGTTAGATGTTGTAGTGACATTAGGTTAAATCTGTATAGGTTAATGAACAAGATATTTAAATAAATAACTTATAGATAAGTTACAAGTATAGCAGCATAGTGTAAAACCAATTAGGTAGTCTAATATCTGTATAGTAAACTACTTAAAATAGATAATAACTAAAGTTATATATATAGCTTGTTGTATACTTTTTATGTAATTATAAATAATAGAAATTATCAATATATAATTCTACTTGCAACTCTAATAAAAATTCTTTTAGCAATATAAGTTACCTTTAATAACAACAAAAAAAAATACAAAATAACTAGCAAGAAGAAAGAGCTCTTGTATAAAAAATTTTAGTAAAGAAACATAAAAAGTTTTTTGTTAATGAAGTTAGTAAAAAAAGTCTTAAGAAGAAAAATAATAAATTATTTTGTCTATACAGTTCTTTAAACCTTAAAAAACAAGAACTTATCACAAGCTTTCTCTTTTTAGTTTTCTATTTTTCTTAACAATAGTAGGAAATCTAGGTTTCCTCTTATAAAAAATCAGTATTGTTTATTCTTTCTATTTTTAAAAATACTCTGTAGATATGCAACCTCATGTAGTAAACAAAGTAATATACTTTGTTTATTGTTTAGTTTATTATATAATCTTGATATTATAAATCTTAGATTTTAAAAATAGATTATATATTATAAAGAGAATTATCTAAAATAGGTTATAAGTTGTATAACTTAAAATTTTTAAGTCTAACCTAGGTTATAAAGTATTTGGTTACTTTTTTTTAGTTTTTTTATATATTTCATCTCTTTTATTATATTACTACCTAACAAAATTTTTACAATTTGAAACAAGTTTTTCTTTATTAGTAAGCTTAACATTTTTAGATTAGTAACAATTTTTATTTTTTCTATTTTTGAGACTAGGTATTAACTACTTATAACTTAATATTAACTAGGTTAGAAAAATTTAGGATCATAATAAGGTCTAAAATCACCTTTATTAATCTAAGGATAATTTTTTTTTTTTTTTTTTTTTTTTTTTTTTTTTCTACTTGAGTGATCTTGTTCTTTTTTTTATTATAGATAGTTTATTATAAGATAACATATAGTATACTATTATATCTCAATATAACTATATACTGTTCTACAGATTTGGTCTAAACTAACTTAGTTGTATTAAACATGCCTAAGTTTAATCTGCCACAGAAGCTTTTTATTTCCCAAAAGTAGTTTACTATATAAATAGTACATCCTAGTTTTTGATCAACAATTGATGACTTTCAGCCACTATCAAGATCTTAGGTCCCTCCTAATTTAATCTAAGACTAAACTAAAAGTTGTTAATACCTAGTCTCAAGATAGAAAAAAATAAAAAATTGTTACAGATAACGAAAAGCATAAAGCTACATACTAAGTATAGTATAGAAAAACTTGCTAACAAGTGAAAAACTATACTAGCAATAAATAGATAAAAAAAAAAACAAAACAAAAAAGACAAAAAAGAAAAAGAAACAACATTTTCTTTTTGATATAAAAAGAAAAAAGAAAAAAAAAACCCAAAGTAATTCTATCTAAAGGCAAATCTAAAAGCAAGCACTACCTTTAAAAATTATATATACTAGTTGCTACCTATATATATATCTCTTTGATTAACAATTTCTAATCTGTTTACTTAGTACTAATTTAACAAAGTAAGGTCTTCACAAATTTCACAGTATTCAGTCAATAGAAGTTGACCACAGAACATGTGCAATATATATTTACAAGTTGTTGTTGTTTGGTAGCATCCAACATAATTTTTCTAAAATAGATATAGTATAAATATCAATCTTTTGGCAGGAGTAAGTTAAATCTCTACTTTTTGTTGTCGAGGAACAAAGAGAAACAATTTCAAGTCTAAAAGTTTAGTTGTCAAAGGTATAAGGAATAGTTCTTCAAAACAACAGAACTAAGAGAATGGTAGTATGCTTAACCTAGCACAAGTATAGTTGGAGTTCTTCTTTACTTCTTCTTTTCATCTTTAGTACCTTTTTACTAAGTAAACTTAAAGTTGCCTCACCAAAGTCAGATAGCAAAAAGCCTAGTACAACCTTGAAACTAACTTGTTGTAGTTCTTGCTTCTGACTTATTATAGTCTTGTAGTTTATTCTTTGTGTAATCAGACATTTTAAGTTGCTTTACCAGGTAGTAACGCAAGAAAAATAACTTTTTTGTTGTTCCATTAGTTTGATTTTGATGATCATCAGAAAGAGTTATTTATTTTTGACTTTCCAAGGATAATATCTTCTTCAAGAAGAGTTACTGTAAGAAGAAAAATAACTTCTGTAGCAGATCACACCTGAACACTATTTGGTAGCCAAGTAAGTTCAGAATTGCAGTAAGAAGAGATATAGTTATAGATTAGTTTTAAAACTTATATATTTTGTATCTTATATATATCTTATGATATTTCCTCTAATAAATGACAAGTAAGATCACTCAAGTTAGAAAGAATAAAAATTAAAAAATTGATTTTATAAAAATTTTTTTTAAAAATATTCTATTGTAAAATTTATTTTTGTTAAATATAATTAAGTTTTGTTAAGTTATTTTTGTTTGAAGTTTTAGCAAGCCAGATTGGACCAGGCTGAGAAACGAGAAAATTTACTTATTAATCGGTCTTAAAAGGACTACCGGACTGATCTTTTTCAGAACCAACCCTATTGCAGTATTGAAAAATATAAAATCGAAAAAAATACACCGAATAAAGATCATTTTTGTACTACGTAATTTGTTCACAAATCAGGAGGCCGCATAAATCGATACTATACGACTAACTTTGTTAGATCAATGAAACTTTAAATTATCAAATTGAGAGATGATTTTATTGCGTATAATCTAGCATAATGTCGCAATGATAATTTAATTATATGATACAATAGCTATCATGGATGCTTGTATGCTAACTGATTTATTAATGCAAAATTAGAATCATTGTTTGCTATACTTGAGAAATTCCTGTTGAGTTGATTCTGAAATTAATGTGTAAAAGAATATATTTACATTAATGATTTTTACAAAGTTGGGATTTCAATTAATTAATTAATTCGGCAATGATGAGCTTTCAAGAGCGGAAAGTCTGCTGCCCCCACAAATACGTTTCAGTCTGCATAAGATTTAATACTGCGACAAAAAAACATTGTTACTTGAATAAACCTAATAACTAAAAAAAAAAAAAAAAAATTTATATCGTTTTAGACACACAATAATTAAGCAAAACAATTGATGTTGTTGAAGCAGGTAGCAAAAAGCATATCATGGAACATGACGAGAGACTTGTATGATACAAGTTACAAGAAAACTGTAAACTTTATTTGGATTGTAAAAAAATAAAAATAAAAATAAAGAAAAACAAGTAAACTAATTGTATTTGGTAATGCAGAATGAAATTATAACATTGATTAAATGAGCGAACTTATAATTAACAATATTGTAGTGTATGGGTATGCGTCAAATAAATCATATTATAACTCGTTTATATGATAATTATTTTATATCTTGACATGAATCAAGAACGATGAACGATGTAAGTTTTTTTTATTTGTTAGTATGGGTCAAATAAAAGTGGGTTAGATGGATCAAGTACAAAGTTTTTAAAGTAGCAAAAAAAAAAAAAAATGCTGGAGAAATTACCAGAGTTCCACTAAAGAAAGAAAAAAAAAAAAAAAAAACGAAAACTCTGGTGGAAACTCATTTTCCCTGCTCTACATACAATAAACCTGATTATTATGTAAAATATAAACTTAAACATGCTTTTAAAAGGTTATCATTAATAAATAACTCACAGAATAACTTCAAGTAGGACATTATGATATCAAAAGTTTCCACATAGACGGGACAAACGGACATTTCCTTCACTGCCTTCTTGAAGGAAAGTGGAAAGACGCCATTCCGCGTACATCTGAAAGATTGTGTTGGCACGAAACGAGATTGGAATAATTGCTTCCATGATGAAAAATATCGATCCTATTCATCATGTTGAATATACCTTTCTATGCCCTTTTGTTATAACGAGGTGTAAATATTCACGTACTACTATCGCTTGCTTTATAAGTCTTTCAAGAGCAGATTCGTTCACATGACTATCAAAAGCTAAAAAAAAAAAAAAAAGTATATTATAGTTATTGAAGTCAATAATAAATAATTCTAAATTTCAGTTATAAATAGCGACCTTAAATTAGGAACATTTTAAGTTACATACAAAGTATTGCACTGTTGATTTCATCGGCCAATTTATCGCGATGTTCCTGAGATAATAATGGGGCAGATGGAGAATTTTCTGGATTTTCATATGCAATTAACGGACACACTTTCTCAAATTCATCACGATATTTTTGTTCATTTTCACCGCCAAGTGTAGGATACTCAGCCAACACAGATTGAGCATATGTCAAAGCTTCGTCGAAATTTCCCGAACGTACAGTTTCTATGAATTGCTGTAATTGGAGTTTGAAGCACATCTCAGTAGAGCGTGGAGTTGTTAGATCTCCAGTAGATACAACTTCCGGAAAAGTGGATCGGCACAAAGATAGAGCAGATGGAATATCACCAGATATTATAAACTTGCGTATCTCTAGAACAAAATTGAACTATATAACTATTATATGTATAAAAGCTCATTATTAATAAATAGAGCTCGAAACAGTATACATACGCTTTCGAATTTCTAAACTTTCCAAAGCAGACTCTGAACAAAACTTTATATTAGAGTGTCGCTTGTTTCTCCATGTAGGGAATAACTTTGAATTTTTAGACGGCGTAGATAAAGAATTATTTGAAGCATTAACGTGAATAAAATCTTCATTTGAATCAACCATTTCGAGATCACCGTCAGCGTCGGGTTCGCTCGTATCCATTGGAACAGTTTTATTTGAACCATTTTGCGAGAAACCGTTGGTAAAAGGGATTTCTTTTTGGGAGGATACATTGAGGTCTTGACTATCTTTTAAGAAAATTCTAGCTGTTTCACCATAGCAATTATGGATTAGGTAGTCAAGAACAAGTCGACGAACAATACGGTCGTCAGGTTCTTCCAAATTTTGGAATGAGTCAGAACAAGGGTCCATTGTAAAAATTTTTTATAAAAAGGAGAGAATTTTTAGGTATTAAATATGAATTTCCTAATTATACGTATGTCGTGTGATTTATTAATTAACTGTTAATGTTAGGTTGATTTACGTATTACAGTATTAAAATTTCTTTAACGCTATGTGCACATTCACGTGACACCAATCTTATACATATATGCACTAATCATTACCACTTTTTGAGTCGATTAACTGTCAATAAATGCATTATTTTGTCACGTATGGCATTTTGGCGGGTATACTCGGAGATCAAAATCAAATGATTTTATACCATTCGATTCGTTTCGCATCTCCTTGTTTGCTAAAACACGAGAAATAATTGAGATTTTAAATGCTGGTTTCCTATAATTGCCTCTTTGATATTCCATGGATTTGTGGTTATCGAGTTATCTTCGATCAAAATTTTAAAAAAAAACTTAAAATATAAGTTGCGCCAAATTTTTCAAGATTCGAGCAAAGATATCTTGACCCAGATTCAGTGAAATTTTTTTATTGAATTATATAGATCAAATAATAAAAATATTCAGGTGGTTGTCGATCTCAAGTTAATATCAAAATTGAGACAATTTGATTGGCTAGATATCTGATATGTTACACGTAGAAATTCAAAATTTAGGTTCGATCAACATCTCCATACGTATATAAATGTGTCACATACGCGAAGATGATTTTACCGAATTTCAAAAAAAAAATAAGATATGACAGAAAGGAAAGTTTTAGTGCTCGACAATGGCGCAAATACTATCAAAGCTGGATATGCATTTAATTCACAGCCGAGGTAGTAAATATTCAAAAGATAGTCTTTATTTCGTCTGTATATTAACAATTTCTACTTTTCGCAGAATTATCCCTAACTGTAGAGTAACGCGCGGAAAGGGTGATAAAAAAACCTACATAGGAGAGCAAATTAGTTCTTGTACTGATTTTTCCGGGTTATATTATAGATTACCTTTTGAAAAAGTTTAGTTCGATTTTTTTTATTATTAATAGTTTATTTTAAGTTAGATCAAAATAATAATTCAATAAACTCATATTCTGTATTATATAATGTTCTCTTAATAGGGATTTCTTACGAATTGGGAAGTTGAAAAAGGAATTTGGGATAGAATATTTTCAAAAGATATACTCGATGTACGTGATATGTATATTTTTATTAGGATAACTTGTAATATTTGAATTCAATTAATAAAAAAATAACAAATTACTTAACTCCAATAGTGTGATCCACAAAAAACAAGTCTTCTTATTACGGAACCATGTTTTAATTTACCAAATATTCAAAGAACATATGATGAAATGATTTTTGAATTTTATGAATTTCAATCATATTGTCGAACAATCGGTAATCTTTTATAACATATCAGTTTTTTTTTTTTTTTAGAATTTTCCTTTTGGTATCTTATAAAATAAAATAATTTTTTTTTTTTATGCAGCTCCATGGTTATGCATCCAAAATGATACGTCAAATCTCTATCACAGTAGGCCACAGAATCTCGTTGAACCCCCGGATTGTGTTTTAGTAGTTGATTCTGGCTATTCTTTTACTCACATAGTCCCTTTTGTCATGGGTCGACCAATTCTTCCTGCTATTCGAAGGTTTATGAATGATTTATTAATTATTATATGTTATTTATGTATTATTAATAATGGTTTTTTGTTGTTCCATATAGGATTAATATTGGAGGAAAATTGTTAACCAACCATCTTAAAGAAATTGTATCATTTAGGTATGTACTCTACATTGTGATACAATTTTTAGATTATTATATATTCTAAATCAAATATAGATATTGGGATATGATGGATCAAACTTATGTAATGAATGAGGTCAAAGAAGCATGCTGTTACGTTTCTCGTGATTTTTTAGCAGATCTCGAGACGTGTAGGTAAAAATATTATTTTTTTTAGATTTGTAATTATGAATTAATACATAAGGCTCGAAATTATTAATATTTAATTGCTTACAGGAAAAATACACGAGATAATCCTATTCTTCAGGAATACGTGCTTCCCGATTTTTCAAGGAATAGCAAGGGATACATTAGGGTATGGTATTGTTACATTTTAAATATTACTATACAATTATTTAATATGTTGATTTCTTATCCCCTAACCTAAAGGAAAAAAGAAGCGCATCAGAAATGTATGATCAATCGGACGAACAAGTTTTATACATGAATAATGAACGTTTCACCGTACCAGAAATATTATTTAATCCATCTGATATTGGTACAGCTATTTTTCATTTATGTTATAAGCTAAATAGTATGGAATGAATTTTAAATATTTCATGTATTTTTTTTTTTTTTTAAAGGTATGAATCAGGCGGGAATTCCTGAAGTGATCGTGGAGGCAATTAATGCTACACACCCTGGTATCATTTGTTTCGTTTTGATTGTTTTGATTTCATCGGGTAGAGGGATGCTGTTGCTTGCTACAAATAAACCTATTTGAGGAAATCAAAAAATCGTTCTTATAAGTAAAAAAGGATTATTGGTGGTGGTAACTGACAAGAGTAATTTGGGTTTATATTCATCAATTTTGAGTTTAGAAATGTTTCCTTTTCCTGTAAATGATGTAGATTTGCATGGATTATTTTACGGAAATATCGTATTAGTAGGTGGAAACAGCTTATTTTCCGGATATAAAGAACGAGTGTAAGTTGATTATCAAATGTTATTTTATCGTTTCACATTTATTGTTTTATATATATATTTATTCTTTTTTTTTTTTTTTTTAGCGAAAAAGATTTACGTATTCTTGCACCATCGGAATTTGAGGTTAAAGTTGAAATGCCGGAAGAGTAAAAGACAATTTTCATCTTTTTATTATAATAAATCAGTTTATATCTGCTTACTTTGATATTTATTTACAGTCCCATCACGTACGCATGGCATGGTGGCAAAAAATTCGCGTCAACACCAGAGTTTGATGAAAGATTAGTAACGCGTTCTGAATATTTGGAATATGGAAGTAATATTTGCCTTAGGAAATTTGGATTAGGTGGTGACGAAATTGAGGAGATGTCTGAATAATGTGATATGTAAAAAAGTATTATTATGATTTTATTTTAGACAATAAAATAAAAACTAATTTTTTTTTGCATAAATACTATTTTTTCAATAAGCCAAAAATTTAATATCGTAACTTTAATAGTCGGCTCAATTTAAATTAATATTTACCAGTAAAAGTTTTAGGAACACATAATCACATATTTATTATACAAATTTTTTTAAAGTATTAAGCAAAGATAAGACAGGTTGTTTTGATATGCTAATTTTAAGATTGAATTTAAGACGAGAGTTTGATTCCCGAAAATGAGATGTTTTTATATGCTAATTTAAGAGAGTACTATAGCTGATAGTGATTTACTGTAATTTAATTAAGATATTTTATTGGAATTCATAAGTATCAGATCAAAGGCAAATTATGTAACTCTGAAGTGCTTTCTTATTTTTCCATGAACCCCACTATTACATAATCGTATAACAGATAATAAATAAATAATTGAATTTGTCATTTTTTAAGTGGTCTTACTTTAACGCATCCGGAAAATGAGTACCAGGTTGCAGGGTTCTGCAAATGCCCATGCCGGGCACATTGGGCACTATATCTGGCATTAGTGCCTGGGCAGTGCCTATGCTCATAGACTTAAAGTGCCAGGTACTTTTGGGCCAGGCATTTTTTGTGGCATGGGCATTTTGTGCCTGGCTTGTGCCCGGCATCTGTTTTTATAAGTGTTTGATACTTTTAAGTTAGGCACAAAGTGCCCGTAGGCACTAAAGTGCCGGGTTTGCAGATCCCTACCAGGTTGGTGCGCCTATACCAATAGTAGACAAAATGATAGCAGATTTTACTATTGAATTCAAGACAATAATTTTTTCATGATATAGAAAAGTTGTGATTACTACATAAAATTATTCTTTATTTTTAAATAAAAATATTTTTTAGAACATGAATATTGTTATATTCAATATTATATAATAATTTGAGCTTTGGATTTTAATCCATCTTCGAGTACATGAACCCCGGTAATGTAAAAATCAGATGATCAAGACGAAATTGTTACACTTCCCAACAAATTTTTTTCGATCGAAAAATTTGTTAAAGTTCATTTACATTAGGGTTAGGGCCCATATCTGGTATACTAGGTTTTAGGGTTAGCAAAATATATAGTAATATTGCACGAGGAATTTCAAAAAAATTTTCGATCACGTGAAATTTGCCAATCAAAAATTACGATTTTGTGTAATGTAACACGATCAGAAAATCTCAAAACGCGTTCTTTATAAATAAAACAATTTTTGACTTCCTATTATCCATTATTAACCTTCTTTTTATTTCTTGTTTTCTTCTTTCTCGTTGTACATAAGGTGTGTATACTCTTTCATGTGGTCTAAGGCATGCTGAATACTGATAGAAGAGTCGAAAGTGCTCCGTGGCCAACTAACTTTTGGTTGAACGTTCCTTTTTATCAGTGGTTAATATGCTGATAGACATTTTTCGGGCCAAAAAAAAATATATTTTTTGGGAATACAAAAAGTATTCTTGGAGGTATATTGGCCGTTTATCAGGCGTGCTAACTGAGTCCTACAGATGGAATACTTAGTTGGCCCTGTTTAAACGTTTTTCCTTTATATATCCCTCCTTTTAGTTTCTTTTTATCTTCATTTTGTTGGGTTGCATATTTAGAAATCTATTTGATTTTCTAATTTTTTTTTTTTTTTTTGATAATGGATGCCTAGAAAAAATACAAACCAGATTTTTCAAGACAAACTTGCTCAAAGAGATCAAAGGATCCGAGAGCTTGAAGAAATGGTTGTTGAGATGCGGCAACAATTAGGAGGTATAGTAGCTATGATAAGATGGTTGAGAGTAGAATTAGATAGGTTAAGGCTTCAGGTAGAGGATTTAGAGAATAGAGAACAGAATTATTTTTGTAATATTTTGTAAAATAATAAATAATTTCATTAAAAATAATTATAAAAGTATAATGAATATATGTAGTGTTTTTTTTTTTTAGAGTTTCA